GCACAAGTACCTGATCATTGGTATCTCGGAGGAAACCCTACGTGAATTGAGAATAATGTTACTCTTTAATACGCACGCGACGTATACGACTGATCCATGATTGACAAGGGTGAAACATTTTCATGTGATTTGATGTAATTGGCTGTGATTTCAAGTGAGTTGGTTGTTTTAATGTAAACAGGCCCGGAGAATGAACAAATTGGTAAAGGCGAACAGGCCAGAGAGGTGGACGGTCCCGGTCCCGCTCAATGACTCGGCTTACTTAAAGCGCGGTGGTCGTCGCGTAGCGCGTGTTCGAATTTCATGTAAATAAACAATGTATTTTACACGCGTTGTATACGTTGCTATGAGTCACATATCGAACAGGACGCGGCACGACGACTGTCCTTTAAGATTTACCAGAGTTCGGAAGTCATCTTGGAAGTTCTCGGCGTCACAATGCTCGGAAGGGTGTATTTTCTTTCTGAAGACGAACTGGCGGTTTTGCCAGGTGAGATGGATTTTTCTCATTCGGTTTCGGCCGTGATGGGGGGAAATGTTAGCAGCGATGCGGCATCGATGGTGACCAAGATTCTACCTCCGTCCGTTTCTGTATATGAATGTATATCACTTGAATGGTATACTAGTACTGTTGGCGCAGCAACAGCGTTGTCATGTACTCGGTGGTGAAAGTTAAACCCGAGCGTTCGCCGTAAATGGCGGCATTTATCGTACCACAGACACCGTACACTAATATTCAGTAAAGTTCGTGTTAAATGTTAACTTGAACTGTGTTTTTATCATGACTCGTGTTCATGCACGTGTTTTTTTTTTTTTTTTTTTTTTTTTAATGTATCTCTTGTATGATTTGCTGCCATCATGGGCTGTTAGCTGCGTCATAGATGGTGTTGCAAGCCCGTTTACGAACAGCTAGCTATATGGGAGTTTGAATTAAACAAGCCACACGCATATACGTGACTGTATAACAACTCCCGGTGACTACCGTACGTATATTTGGTAAACGATGATTTGCATTTTGCCATGCTTTATGACTACACTCAAATAACCATACTGGTCTGTCTGGCAATCCCCCCCCCCCCCGCCACACACACACACAAACATATACACTGCAGACTGTATGACTACTAACAATACTGAATAAGGTAGGATGATATGACCAAAACTTCAAGTATAGATACATGGTATCAACCAAACTTACAAAGATAGAATATCTTACTAACAATCCACGAACATAAAATACGATTGAAATGCTAAAATTCACCGTAAAACTTCATGGAATGTTTAGAACCTTCAAATATAAAGAAATTATAAAGAAATGCCACATATTTTCTTATGATGTTGACAACAAAAATAAAAACAACGACGACGACGATGACAGGAAAAGTATACTAGTAATCAATGAGAGACCCTGGATGCAAACTCTCAACAGAATGGGCGTTATTCACGCAGACTCGATATAAAAAATTACAGTTTCTTTCCCATCAACAGCAAATACTCTGATTTAATATTTGTTGGCGAATCCGTTATCAAAATTACTTGGACAGCATGAGACTGCACAGTAGCATAAGTAATATATTGTGTATATGCGTGTTCACATAAAAAAAGTATATTTTTAATTGTGTTTTTTACGTCATGCTGATGACACGCATAAAATTGCATTATGATTTCTGAATTGTGCTTATAGTCACAATTGTACGTACCAAATCAATCAGCGCACATGCCTATTGGAGAATTTCATCATGATTGTTTCGTCGAATAATTAGTTGCAAAGGCACCGTTTCAGTGAGTTCATGATAACATTATAATCAGATTCATCAACATACAGTAACAAACAACACTACTAAAAATTACATATTTACATCCTTATCGCATCTGTTATAGGCGGTGGTTTTCGCGGCGCGCATGTGCAACATTTGTGTTGATAAGCATTGATTTTCCCATAATCCAAGGTGCTCTTCTAATGAAAGTATGAGTTTTGACCTGGTCACGACGTGTAATAATCACCGCCGGTGACTTCTTTGTTTCCTTCGAATCGCCAAAGAAATTACATAGTTAAAGCTTGGTAGCGCTTTTTACTCATTGGTCTACGCAACAGTCAAAGTCGCAATCTTTGTTCATATGAGACCCATTTCTAGCGCATGCGTGGCGCGACGACCAAGACTTGAAGGACTTATTGCGATACAAATGCAAGGAAAGAAAATATGGAGACGTTGTCAGCTATGTCACCATTTTTATATCATACACTTGAACTTATAGCAATATACAAGTTCAAGATAATATTATAGCCATTTTTACAACTGAGCACTGGCAACGAAATTGGTGATAAATAAGTGTCCTTGCCGATGTCCATGGGTCGTAACTTTAATTATGCAATAGCCTTGGTCGTTGGCATTGAGCATTGTCAGTACATCGTCACGATCCTTGGCCCCACTTAATTCATTTGCTCGCAGTATTTGGAGTGACCACATCCTACCAGTTGTTGAAGTAATCATTGCTCCAACTCTATGACATTTGCACTGAAGTGCAGGTACTTCATTGTGATCGTTATTCCATGCTCACCCTTCAAGTTGGAAAGTTACAAACGAATGAACTAAGGAGAAAAACCCTGTTTGAAACATCCTTGAAGATTTGACTAATTCTCGTGCTTCGGAAATGATGCTGCCTGATTTGGCCGCGATAAGACGAGGTGACGGATCGTCGAACACCAATCAACAGATCGACAGTGTATCGAAGAGCTCGGTCTATCTGGGTGTTTTCGGCATATTAATGTTAGCGCCAGGGGTATTATTAATGGCTTTCACGAACAGTGCACGAACTCTTGCTGTTTTGTTGATGGTCATCGGCTCTCCGTTGACGCTCATTGCTTTGTTATACCCCATTTTATTTCGACATAGACCCGTGACCGAGAACAATGTATCGACCGCGTCTTCATCTAGTTCGGGACAGGGACCACGTAATAATGCGGTAAGGACTACCAGATTGAGTGGGATTCTATTGCATCCCCCTGTACTAGAAGTGAGTACAGTGTTGCGGCCGACACCACCGCCTTATGACGAATCCTTATATCGGGAGCAAGCAGTTGTACCCGAACCCCCTAAATATGCCTGGGCACACGCCTCCACATTGACCACACCGTCTCAGCCACCGCCTTATCAACGTGACCTGCCCGAGGACTCGCCTCCACCGTATTCCTCGTCCGAATGACATTATTCAGACTTTGGTAAAAGACTTTCACTTTACATTCATTCTGTAACCATGTCAACACAGTTCTCTTGGCTAAACCTTGAAAGAAGCTTTGGGTGAAATTCGAAACCCATTATTTAAGGCTGTGTATACACTTGTGTGTTCTCTGGGATTTCTACGCCTGTCTTGAAATGAACAATGTCCAGAGATTCTAGTAAAAAAAGAGCTAAAATAGATAAGACAGTAATAGATGAACGATAGATTGTTAACATTCTTCTTTCATATTTTCAGGGTTTTTTTTAATCACGACCTATGAATTATAGTAGCATACAGTGAATCAAAATCGTTTACAGACTATTTCTCGAAATTAAGGTCTTTTAATTCGCACTGAATCGCCTTGTATGACAATAGAAATAACCTTGATGATATAAAACGAATGAGTTTTATTTTTCAATATGTTGCACAAAATCAGTTGTATTAAAAAAAACGAAAGAATTTCACCATGTCGTAAACGGAAAGTCTTTATCGGCGTATATGTTGAAGAACCGATGTCTGAAAGATGAATGATTATGCAGCCAATCAGAGTTGTCGATTTAAACGTCACAGAAGCGGCCCATCACTAGAGGTCGCGATTTTTTAGAAATGGTTCACTCAATCAATAATGAACATTTGTGCGTCCTTAACTGTACACGTGGTAGCGTTCCGAACATACCGTATTGACAACTTAAATGAAATTAATCGCCAAGAACGCAATGGGTCATTTTGAATTAGTGAACTGGCGTGTTAAGATTATTTACTAGTGATCGAATAAACACTTTGTTTTCACACTTTTGCGTTTTTTGTAGTCAGGGTACACCGCGTAATGTAATTCAGTGTAACAGTACATAGACATGGTGGTAATTGCTGAACCACAGTATGGCTCGCATTTTAAAAATATGGGTCACATATGTAAAATTCGGTCGGGCTGGATATGTTATTTTTTTCACCTAATGTCACAAATGTGAGAAGAATATGTCACGTAACCAATGGTAACAAGGTTTGACATTGCCAAATTTAGAATGGTGACAGCCTCCCCCCTAATTGTGTTATATTAAATCCAAATCACAATAAAATATTATATTTAAATTTGGTGATAATCATTTTCATTTCCGACTAAAAAACTTGAAGGGCAGTGTTCGTTTTCACTTCTCAAATATGACCTAATATTGACAAGGATGTTACCTAGAACTCAAACCACTAATGGTTTGAGTCGTGTATAAGGAATCAGAAAGAAAGATCGTCATCTTGGGCACATCGCGAAAAGTTGGGTACTTCGTAAGTACAAGTAACAACATCTCGTTGACAGAATACACATTGAACTGTGTTCACTATCCTGACATGTAGGCATGAGTGACGCCCTCGCCGAACGAACGGCATCATACCCTACTGTGTTGAGAAATGTTGGGTTTGTAGTACCGCGGAGGACGCAGCTCACACGACCTTGTCAGGCTATGTGTGCACATGCCAAGAATTGCATACTGCTCTCGGTCGAAACTGTTCTGTTTGTCATGATTTCAAAGACGGGACAGTGTGTCACATTTCTATTATAACCACTACTTGCTATTCACCTGGGCACAGTCCCGATAGAAGGACTGTGACCTGGGCGAGCGCTCAACAATCAATACTGTCACCAATGTAAACTCGTATAACAAAAGCTTCGTCCTGACAATGTACTTTTCCGTGCCTTTGTGTTGGCAAATATTATGACCTTGTCAACCATGGCAACAGGGACACACTTACTTGCGTTACTGCATTAGTGGATTTGCATAAGAATAGAAGCCGCCATTTCCCCGTCATTGCATCGTACTACATTCACGAACGTCGTGTCAGAATGAGGGCCACGGAAGGCTTCATTTGGGAAATTTGATTTACTTCATTTGTACGAAGAGTGATAATTCGTGACTCTATGAGTGTCCGGCCGTACCTTTGTCAGACAGTTTACAGGTGAATTGACTTATTTAACAACAGGTACGTTCGACAATTCGTTCTAGTATGGCAGCATTATTATATGCGTAATCTGGTCGATCATACGGGACATCTTCATCATTGCTATTGAAATAATGACGGTGTCCCTGGGATGCCAATCCGTAGCCATAAGTATTACGAAAAAATACACACATACATGTGACGCGATTAGGAAGCAGTTTTCTGCCAATGACATATTTACGTCACAACATGAAACTGTAATTCCATGGTCACAGTGACTTTGCCAAAACAGACTTTAGTTCAGGTCATTTAACTGAGTTGAATCACCGGGAATGCACCATAGAGTGTCTTTTTTTTCAATCCAATACGAATATAAACTGGAAAATAATCCAATAAACGATGGACGTCGTGTTATGGTTTTCGTGTGACAAGAACAACTATGACCGCCGCCCTTTAATTGAAATATTACATATATATCAAATTTTAATAAACCATGTATTTTTTATTTATATATTGTGTTTTTATTTTAGACATCTGATTGTTGTTACGTGCAATAATGGCTGGAAAAGGTGGAAGACGGCGGGGAGGAGGCAGACGAATCGGCGGTCGACGACACGGGCATGGGATCGGTATGAGGCGTGGTGGTGTTGGCCACCGCCGGAGGTACGGTGGTCGGGGAGGAGGAGGAGCAATAAGGATCACAGGGAAGGCAGCTATTGGGGCAATATTACTCTTTTTAGGGATCTTCTTATTGATCCCTGGATGTGTTCTCTTTAGTACCGGAATAGGCGGAAGCTTTGGTGGTGGGACGATGATACCGGGACTTGTCTTACTCGTTTTGTCAGGAACAGCCATTATTTCAGGCCTTGTTATCTGCGTCATCTTTAAATGTGTTCTAAACAAGGAAACCCCGACGACAACTACCGTGACGCCCCAGGGCACAGTTCCCGCTACCACTAGCACGGCAATAGTGGAGAATGAAGAACAGCCGCGACAAGTGCACATAACGGTGAACTACGTCAGAAAGCCCGGGGAACCCGTTCCTCAACCTGGACAATTTCTCGTCGGACAACCAGGAATGGAGGGTCAATACCCAGTGCCAATGGATCCACAAGGTTACCCACCACAGGGTTATCCACCACAGGGTTACCCACCACAGGGATACCCACCGCAAGGATACCCACCACCAGGAACCGGTGATATGGCGTATCCACCGCCAGCCAACAGTGTGCCTCCTCCAGTGACGTACGGGTAAGTCAATGTTTTGCTCGGAAAAAGAAGAGGGGAAATTAAAAATAACCACAGGTTGATTCAATTTTTGGGTTATTATGAAGCCGAAGAAAGGATTACGCCCATGGAAGATTTACCCCCCCCCCCAGTTCAGTTATAGTATGATGACTCACGTTGGCCACGGCCAAGTCACCCAACTATAGTATTCAAACATTTGAATAAGACGGTGCTTTATATTAGGCTATTGTGTTCAGGTCTCACACTACTACTAGATTTTCCGCCATAGATAGCAGGCAAACAACTAGAACAAACGTGGCTCTTCAGACATTGGCCCAATGAGTCGAGAGCTCAAAATTTGAAAACAATTGCTGCATTATTTAGCAAAGCTGGAACTTACTGGGTAGGTTATGTTGGTAGGTATCGGTGAATGATCGTACGATTCAGGACGCTATAACGTGGTAGCATCTCTAGCGGGTTTAATAGTGTACTACCGCTTTCTACGTCGGTACAATTCATGCATTTGGTTCTCTTTTGTTCGGATCACGGTGAAGTTCACCTCTACTAACCACTTTAATAAAAACAAAAACAAGAGGGCGATCTTGGTACAGTTTGTACAGTTTTTAGTCAACTTATTTTTTTTATTTCAGATACGAAGGAAACCCTGGATATCCGCCACCGAATGGCATGATGGATACAACAGCGCCACCACCACCAGCGTACGACACCGTCACAACTCAGCATCAATAATTTATGAACACTTCATCTTCATCAACACGATCAAACGCGGTTGCCATGGCAGTTTATTATCAGTTACTGATATGACTTTATTCCTTCTAATTTTACCTAAAACAAAATTATAGGGCGGCGCATATTCTTCTCAACTCAGCTACGTCAACCAATGATTGTCACGGTGTTAATGATATAATAGCAAGTGTGCGTAATTCGGAAATACGTACAACGTACGACCCAGACGCCTGAACCGTTGTGAAGAGAAAGTTGTTCCGCGACAATTTATCGCGAGGTTCGCTGGTAATCAGCTGATATTCTCACTTTTCTGCATGGCATCATTCAAGATGAGTTGGTAAACCGAAATATGCGCATTCATCACATTATGAGTTATTCTACAACGCACATTTTTTTGAGACACGTGATCATACTGTCGTCTACTTCAACATACACGGGATTGTACAGCCATAATGAGATATTAATGCGGAAGAGTACTAGTATTCACCTGCGCATGCGTCAGAAGGCCATAGCGTGTAATTGTCATGCGTCAGATTGCCATGGCC